CTCACCCAGCCTCTCCACCGTCTCCAGCACCTGGGGACAGGACAGGGGCTGAGGTCTGGGAAGGACATCCTTGGGGGAGCCCACGGTCAAGGCCCGGGGTTTTAGAGGTGAAGGAGGGGTGCACAGTAGCGGGTGTCTGAGATCTGGAGTCTGGGACATCTGAGGATTGAGGAAGGGAAGGGGTTGGGGAGGGGCTCCAACATCAAGTTCATGGAGTTCTGTGGCCTCTATCCAGAGCTCTGGGCGGTTGGTAGCTTGAGCCCAGGGTAGTGAGTCCAGCCCCAGGACTGAGATTAAGTCTGGAGCTTTAGGTCTGAAGTTTTCATCTGCCTTCCAGAATCTGGGGTCTCAAGTCTGGGTCCCATGGTCTGGGGTCTGCAGCTGGACATGGAATCTAAGGCCTGAGGTGGGGCCAGGCCTCAGCCCCAGGGCCCAGAATCCTGGAGCTGAGGTCAGAGCTGAAGCCTCAAGTCGGGGACCTGGGCCTCAGGGCGGGGGTCCCTGAGCTTGCTTATGGGCCAAGAATCAGGTCCCGGGCCCTGGATCTGGTCTGAGGACAGGGGCTGGGGCCCTGGATCTGGCCCGAGGACAGGGGCTGGTGTCCCCGGTAGTTGGTTTCTGTGTGGTTTGGGGGTTTCAGGTAAGGTCCAGGGCTGGGCCTGGGTGTGAGGTCCTCAATTTGCAGCCAGGGTAGGGGGTTGGGTGGACAGTCTGAGGTCTGTGGGTCTCAGGATGAAGTTCCGAATCTGGGGTCCTAAGCTTCAAGCCTGGGGTCTTAGCTCTGAGTTTGGATCCCTTTGTCCTTGGGTGTGGGGAGCCCATCCGGGTGTGGGTCTGGGGTCCCACTGGTCGCTGGCCCCTCACCAGGTGGTCAATGGCGCTGAGTGTGTGGTTGGCGTGCAGCAGCGCGGAGCTGAGCTGGGACACCCCATCACTGGTCTCACTGTTGCCATAGAAACCGATGCCAATGCCAATGCTGAGCGGAGGAGGAGGGAGAGGAATCTCAGCGGGTCCCAGGACCCCGGGGGCCACCGTCCCCTCCCACCCCATCCCCTCCACCCCGCCTTCTTATCCACTCCTCCCATCTCTCAGCCCCACCCCATTGGTCCAGCCCGTGGGAAAAGGGCGACTTCAGCCTGGCCCCCATCGGTTGCCAAGGTAACGGGAAGGCCTCACTCCCCCAGCGGAGGGACGTCATTGTGATGCTAATGGTGGGTGGAGTGGTAGGGGGGAGGGAGCCCCCGATTTAACTCGCACCTCCCTGGAGCAGAACCCCAGTCACACCCAGCTTCGGGATGGGCCGTCTTCCCCTCCCGATGACTGCCTGCCCCACACCCTTCCCCCGCATCCTTTGCCAGGCAGGCAGCCCTCCTGGCACCTGTCCTAGGGTGCCCTAGGGTCCTTGGAGTCCGCAGCGTCAACCCCTCGTGCTGAGACGTCCCCCGCCCCCACCTGCTGGGGGTTCCTAAGGGTACGAGGGGGCAGCTGTCACCATCTCCTGGGGGGGACGCTGAGCCTGGAGCTCTCAGCCTTCCCCCACCCGGGACCCAAGCGTCTGGCCAGCTGGGAGGGAAGTAAGGGAATGTGGGAGGGAGGCTGGAGGATGGGCCAGAAGCCGTGCCCCCGCCCGGGCCCTGCCAACACACAGAGCTCCATTGTGGGGCCTGAATGTGGGGCCCCAGACCCCTCCCGTCCCCGCCCCCGGCCGGTGTCCCGCAGTGGAGGGGGCGGGAGCCTGACACCCTCACAGTTCCCAGCCCCGGCTGGGCCTCCACCCCCATCTCTCGGGTCGGACGCCCAGTGTCCCCGCCCCATTGTTTGCAGTCCTACAAAGCTCCTCTTGTTCCCAGTTCCCCCCAGGCTGCGGGGGCTGGGGCTGTGTCTCTCCCCCACTGGGCCTTTGTCCACCTCCCCTGTCTCCCCCCACGCCAGAGAGCTGGAGGAGGAAGCGTCCTGGATACAGGGCACCCATACAGGTCCCTCCCCTTGCCCACTGTGGGTCTGGGGGCAGGCCGCTGGCCCTGTGGGACCGCCCCCTAGCCGTCTGTAACTTGTGGGTGCCGCTGTGCTGGGGAGGGGGCTATGCTCAGAGCTTGCTCTTGGTAGGTGGTGTGTTCACATTGGAAGCCCCCTAAGCTCCCTTTGGGGGGTGTGACGGGGTCCTACTAACCTGGGTCTGAATCTCCATGCTGCCTCTTAAGCCACGTGGCCTTGAAAGGTGACCTCCCCTCTGTCCCTGAGCCTTCCTCTTTGGAAACTGGGCCTGATACCCCTGAATCCAGCAGCATTATTGTGAGAAGGAATTAGACCAGCTCAGGTCTGGGCACAGATGAGGTGCTCTTGGAGGGTGAGTATCTATTTATCGTCTGTCTCCCTGATTAGAACATAAGCTGCATAAGGGGCTCCTTGCCTGGCTTGGTCAGTATCTGGCACATAGTAGATACTCAATAAATAGTTGTCGAATGAATGAACTGGTGAATGACGGAATGACAGACATCACCAGTTAACGTTGGCTGAGAGTAGCTGCAAGCCAGACACTATGCTTTCTCTCCATCTTACCCCAGCAGGAGGTAGGCGAGACGGTAATACCCACTTTACAGAGGTGGACATTGAGGCCCAGGGAGACTATCACTCCCTTAGGTCACACAGCTCTTCAATGGGAGAGCCACCAAAACCAAGCCATCTGACTGCCCCTGCACCTTCTCACCAGATGGCTGCCCTTGATTCACTTCCTCTCCAGAACCTCACTTTCTCCATCCATCGAATGGAAGAGTCCTTCCTGCTGTGCGCTGAAGCGGGCTTGCAAATGGCGGGGAGAGGGACGAGGGAATTTTCTCCTCCCTGTCTGCTTCCTCCACGTCCCCGGAGGACACCCCCAGGAAGGCCAGCAGAGAGCTTGGGGAGCCCTGTCCCCACCGCCCACCCACCCTGGGGCCCCATTACCAGCCGGTGAGAAGGGCGACAATGCAGCTCCAGGTGACGCAGCCTCCTCCGGGCGAGGGGGTCTTGGACCCGGGAGGCTCGGGGGGCCGGCAGCAGCAGAAGCGGATGAGGTAGACAGCGATGAAAATGAGGCTCAGGCCCAAGCCCAGGCCCGCCAAGGCCGCCACCAGCAACAAGGCCTGGGGGAAGGGGGTGACATCAGGCCTCCGAGCGCACCGGCGTGTTCCACACTCAGATCCCCCTTCCTGCGTGGCTTGGGGGTCGGGGTCTGGGACGTCAGAGTGAAGGTGGGAGGCATCCCTGGCCTAATCTTGGGGGAGATTGGGGCCCAGCCCCTCCCAGGCCGGCAGCTGGGGTTCCAGTTGTCAGGGCCAGCTTGCTGGAGGGAGCTTCCAACTGGGGGCCCCCAGCCTTGGGTCCCAGGTCTGCTCTGCCCTCCAATCGCTGTGCAACCTTTAGCAGGAACCACCCCTTCTCCGAGCCCGGGTTTCCTTCTACAGCCAGCAGTTGGAATGGAGCATTTCCCAAGGCCCCTCCACAATTGTGTGGGATCAGGGGGCCAGTGGGGGTGTGGGGGCACCTGTTCCTGGTGCCTCGGGCCAGGCTGGGGGAGGTGTGCTTCCTCCCCCTCTCCTCCCTGCTCACTGTCTCCCCTGCTGCTAAGCGCCACACCCCACTGCACCTGAGCTTGTCACCCAGAGACGGGGCGAGGGGCTGTGTGGCAACGTGTGTGTGTGTGTGTGTGTGTGTGTGTGTGTGTGTATGCAAGACTCAGAAATGGAAACTGGGAGAATGAAGACAGAACAGAGAGAGAGAGAGAGATGGAGGGAGGCGCAGGCAGAAAGACACAACCAAAAAAAGAGACAAAGATAAGATGAGGTTTGGGCACGAGTCAGAAAAAGGCAGAGAGCAAAAGAGATCAAATCAGAGAGGAAGAGCAGAGTAAGGGAGAGAGAGCGTGAGAACACTATAGAGACAGGAGAGACACACAAGGACAGAGAGGCTGAGAGAGCCAAGGCCCGGGAAGACAGAGGCAGGCAGTGGAAACATTCTGCGGTGGGGAAAGCCTTGCAGAATAACAGGGTGTCCACGTGGCGGGGATTTTACAGCGGACCTGTGCGGTCCCAGAGGCCCAGAGGACCATAGTGGCCCAGGGGGTTTGTACTGAGCCCCGGAGCTTGGAGGGACAACATTGGGATCAGAGTCACACTTCTGGACTTGCCAAGGCTGTTTCCCCTAAACCATGGTGTTTCTGCCTTTGTCCACACACCACACACACACACACACACACAGTGGCACAGTGGTGTGTGTGTGTCCTAAGTGTGTGCAGTGTTTGTGTTTCTGGTGTGAGACTGGATGTTTTTATCTTTGGGTTGTCTCCATGGGATGAGGATGCACCTGAGTGTGCCTCCTGGGTGCACTGGTGTCTGCAAATGAGAACATCTGTGGGCATTTGCGTGCTCTGGGCACAGTTCCTTGGGTCTGTGAGTGGGTCCAGTTGTGTGTGTGTGACAGTGTGGGTGAGTGTGTGTGGATGCGTGACTGCATGTGAGGGTGTGTGTGCACATGAATGTTAGAGTCAATATATGTGTGCGTGTGTGTGTATATGTGAATGTGAAATGTATAAATGTGTGTGTGCGTGTGTGTATATGGGAGTATAAACGTGTATGTGTAACTGTGCATGCATGAGTGTGTGAGCATATATATATAAGTGCAGTGTGTGCTTGTATATGGGAGTAAATGCTTATGTGTGTATGTGAGCGTGTGTTGAGTCACTGTGTGCAGTGTGTGTGTGCATATGTGTGATTGTGTATGTGTAAGTGGGTCTAGCCATGTGAGTGTATGCATGTGTCCATATGCGCGTGTTGTATGTGGGTGTGAGTGCATAGTGGGAGTAGTAAATGGGTATATGTGTGTGTGCATATGTGTGTGCATGTGGTGTATAATGAGAGTAAGTGGGTGTGTGTGTGCCTGTGCAGATGTGTGTGAGTGTGTACATGTGCGTAATGAGAGTAAGTGGGCGTGTGTGTGCCTGTGCAGATGTGAGTGTGTAATGGGAGTGTGTGCATGTGAGTGTGTAATGGGAGCGTGTGTGTGCCTGTGCAGATGTGAGTGTGTACTGGCAGTAAGTGGGCGTGTCTGAGTGTGCCTGTGCATATGTGAGTGTATGTGTGTAATAAGATTAAGTGGACGTGTGTGTGTGCCTGTGCATATGTATGTGTGCAGGTGTGTAATGAAAGTAAGTGGGCATGTCTGAGTGTACCTGTGCATGTGTGTGAGTGCATGTGAGTGTGTAATGGGAGTAAGAGAGTGTGTATGTAATGGGAGTAAGTGGGCGTGTCTGAGTGTGCCTGTGCATATGTGAGTGTGTGCGTATGAGTGTGCTGGCAGTAAGTGGGCGTGTGTGTGTGCCTGTGCATATGCGGGTGAGTGTGTGTGTGTGTGGCTGTGTGCCTCCCCGCGGGCCAGTGTCCCAGAGGCCCTGGCTGTGTCTGCAGCTGTGCCCACGGTGGTCGCGTCCCTGGAGGGGTCCCCCTCTCCCCGCTCGGCTGTGGGGCTCTGCCTGCGCATCCCTGCCACCCTGACCCTGACCCTGACCCCCGACCATGGGGGTGGAGTGAGGCTCCCCCAAACCCGTGCCTCTGGCGGTGACTGGGGCCGCGGATCCCCGCGTAAGGCTTCGGGAGGTCTCGGGGCCAGAGCGGGCGTGAGTCTGGGCCCAGGCCGGAGCCGGTGGAGCAGCGGGGTTGGAGGTGGCCGTTGTGTAATCGCGAGGCTGTGGGCGAGGGGACGGCGGTCCCCGTGTGTGGGGAGAGGGGGCGGGCGAGGAGCAGGCGGGGAAGAGCTGCTCAGGGCTGTGCCAGCCATGACCCAAATAGCTCAGAACACAGCACGGATCCCCTCCGCGCTTTTCTGGGACCCCCTCCACGCCCCCTGAGCTCTCCAATCCCAGCCCCCTTTTCCCAGGAGCCACCCAGGACAGCGCCCAGGGACTCAGGCCCCATCGGCAGGGCCAGGACCCGTCCTGGGGCCACATCGGGACTCCCTGCACCCCCACCCGTGCCCAGCTCTGCCGAGCCTTTCTCCTCATTAATCTCAAAGTCAAGGACTTGAATTAAACTGGGTCAGAGGACAGCTCTTTCGCCCGTTGGAGCTGCCCCGAGCTGGGTCCCTTCCCCAGGGACCCCGGCTTCTGTTAGGTTCCCACACCGGCCCCACCCTCGGGACCCGGGTCTGTCATCCCGAGGCTCCCCAAACCCAGCCTCATCTCGGCCCTGACCCCTGCAGCGTCCTGACCACCCCTTCTTTCTTGGGACGGGCAGGAAGCTTTCTCTCCCAGCGCGCCTTCATTTTCCAGCCCTGGCACTCAGCCCCTTGTGCCCCCTTCCCCATTTTAGACTTTCAATCCCATCCCAGCACCCCAGAAGCCAGCGTTTTCCCCTCCACCGTTATCAGGTCCGCTGTCTCCTGGGTCCCGCCTTATCTGGGACATATTCACCTGCCCTGATCCTGTGGGGCTGGGTCATCTTTTAGGGCAGGGAGAGTAGACCTAACCTCCCGATGACCCTGCAGGCCAGCTTCCCA